CTCACAAGCCTGTATATTTGGTTTTGACCTGCAGGGTGAAGATCTCTTTTAATCACAACATGTTATTATGGCCAACAATAGTACAATTATTTTTCTGACTCTTGTGGACTGGTATGACATCAAACTGTTTCACTGGAAACCAATACCTATAGATGCAGACACTGTTACTTGCTTTTGTGTAAAAAAACAAGAGTCACAAAGAATTTTTCTTTGTCTGCCAGGCAGCTGATATGCATGGTATACAAAGAAGAACTCTTTCAGCATGTTTCCCAGAATGAGATCCCTTTTGACAGTAGCTAACAAGCAAAGAAATACCTTTATTTAATTCCACGTTAGAGGCAGAATGTTCTTCTGTTCTACCCTAATCACTTGAAATATGTAAAGTAGTCCTTTTTACTACCTTCTTTCTTTTAATTGAAAAAACCCACACACTTTTATGTTGCCTTTCTTTAGGTCCAAGACCTGGTGTTTTGACTGGCTTGAGTGTATGGTATGGGCCTATTGTATGCTTCCACAAAAAAAATATTAAAAAATAAAATAAAAAAATTAAGCCAAATGTTTGTTTACATCAGTTGTTCCTCTCTGTAGCAAAATATTTAGCAAGTGGGGAAAAAAGAGAATTTTCTCAAAATACAAAATATCTTGATCAATCTCTCTCACTCTACAACTTACTCTTTAGCCACTCATCTTTTAAGTTCTTTGTGGGGATCTTGGACTAATCACGTCTATTCTATCACTGCATTCATTGATGCTTGGAGACAAATTTCATGAAAATGGAATAAATATCCCTAGAAAGAAAGAGACCTCAGATTTTATGTTATATTGTTCATCCTGTTTCTTTTGCATATTAGCAAACATGTAATGCCATATATTATAACAATAAATCCCAAGGCTAGAAATCACTGTACTGAAAGCAGGTTTTCTATGTAGAATACAATGCATGAAGACAATTAAATGTTATAGCAGGAGGGTAGTTCTAGAAGAAAAAAATTTTATGAAAAGGGAGGAAAAATGCCTTAATTTCTGACCTGTCCACTCTCCCTTTCAGGAAGGCTGGCCTCTCCAACTGAGAAGATACTCTGAAGCAGAAAAACTGGTGGAAAAAATTATTATTGAAAGGGCAGTCAGAGAGCAAGCACATACACACATCCTTCCTTTCGAGCAGACTTTTCTGAAAATTGCCTCAGATGTCTGCTGAGTTCTCATGGAAGGATTTTTCCTTTTTATTAAAAAAATAGAAAATAATCAAAACCTTTCTCTTCGTGGTTTGGAGCCAGCAACTCTCCTCATTGGCAGCAGTTTCCAAACCTTTTATTGAACAAACCTAAAAAAGTTTTACACTGATGGCAAAGCACCTTCCTTGACTGGAGACAGCAGCTTAGGCAGCAGTATTCTACCTAAAGCCCATCAGCAATTAACATACATCATCACATCAATCTCTGACTAAAGACAGTTCTCAGCAGCTTTGGGTTAAAAGAAAATGTATGCTCACTGTGGATGTTCTGCTTGTGTTTGCTCTGGTAGACTAGTACTGAGCTATAGGCATACATAGAATGAGGTGAATCAGAGGAAATCTTGTATTCTTACATTTGAATTTAAATGGGTTTGGACAAGGCAGCTAAAACCAGTAGTAAAAGGAAATTAAAATTAGCACTGGATATTTCTCTCAAGAAGTTCCCTTCCAAAATTCCAGTGAAAATTTGCTTTGACCTGGCAGATTTATGAGCCTTTGAAACTTTCAGTTGGAGCCCAAGCAATAGTTTGTTTTGTGTTTAGAATAATAATACTCCTTAACTGAGGCAAAGAGTGGCAGTGACACCACTATTTATGGCTTGTTGTCCCTCTCAGTTTCTGCACAGGGAATGCAGCTGGACTGGTTATTACTTTTACAATTACCACATGCTTTTTGTACTGGCAACCCTCACATATTGAAAAACCACGAAACTGCTCCTCCAGAGCAGAGAATTAATTAAAAAGAAGAGGTTTAGGAAAGTGATGTTTTCAGCTGTTTTTGCTTGTCCTCTTATTTAAGCCATTTGTATATATTTGTTTCAAGTTTCCAAGTTTTTCCCCCAAAGCATGAATACTAGAAGCTGAGATCTTCTTACGTTTTAGGGTTCTGTCATCTGAAACCAGATGAAAAGCACTAAATATCATAGTATTAGCAATAAACTTGACAGTCACCAGCACAAAAACTTGAAAGAGCTGTTTTGTCTTCTCAAACTGCATTCTCAATGAAAGATAAAAATACCTCAAAAAGTTTGCACAGCATTTTTAACAGGTGGACATACAAATCTAATTTAAAATTTAGTGTTCTCGCCTTTCTTCTAGAGTTTGTATAACCCTAAGATGAAGTTTTTGTAATGTGCTGGAAGTACTTCTTTCTGTACAACCTTCTAAAAATTGGCTCAGTAATGTAGTTTGCTTTTTCTAAGTGGAGGTACGGAATAAAATGGGATATTTTTTTTTCTCTCCCTATTGAAAAGGCAAATAGCATTGTTTTTACTTTTGTACAATAATTCAAGAGCTGCAGAATCAATAGGCTGTTTCATATCCCATCATCAGCAGATACTGGGCTGAAAGCCAGTTTCTCCACGATGGCTTTGTTTAGCCTAGAGTTTTGTAATTCTAGTTAATTGATTGCTGGTTTGTTTGAGTTAGCACAATTGAAAACGGTAATGTAGATATCCAAGAAATATTTGGGGCAGAACAGTTAATTAATCAAAGTTAGAGCATGCCCAGAACTTTGTAACAGACCAGGTTAGGTTGGGTATAACCTCTCTGACCTCTCTCCCACCTGACACTCAGAACTCCATCCACACCTCCCTGGGGTCTGCTGCACTGAAGGAAGACAGCTCTCATCAGAGCCTGGGTGTGGTACATCAGTCTTTTGATTACAGGTGAAAGCAGACAGATGCCCTGCAGTCAGAGCAAGCCCTCTACCCAGTCCCCAGCCCCAAAGGGAGACAGGATGAGGCACTGTCTTCAAAAGCAAAAACAGTTGCAGCCAAGCACCTTACCCCCATTAGTGCAAATAGCTGAAGCAGCAAAGGTTACTGAAACTAAACCTTTCCTTTCACCTCTACTTTACATTTGAGTGTGAAAGAAGCTGTTGTTTTCTCCCATTTTCATATGAAATAACCACAACAAAATCATTGATGGCTCCTCATGCAGGACAGAGCTGTGCAGAGTAGAACAATTCTTCTGCAAAGAAACATAAAAAATATGAACAGACACCTACAGTTACTCTCATGCACCCAAACTGAGAAGGGTGTAGGTCATTCTGATGTGAATGTAATAAACCAAAGTACTAGATTTTTTAGCACTACCCTATAAAAAATGGCAGTTATGAAAAAGCATAACTGATCTAGACACTCACTACAGCATTTGGGACTGATGTAATAAACTAAGTGATAAAATTATACTGTTCTTTAGGATGTGTGTCCCTTGCCCTCAAATAAAAGGACTCGCAATTCAGAATCCCATGGTGCAGTTGCAGTCCCACTGGTTGACATTGTAACACACATGGGATTTGGGAGTGTTTACTATTCTATTGTTTGACTTTATCCTGGTGTAGCATGGCTCAGTATGTGACACAATGGTTTGAGTCTTCACTGCTGTTCAGCTTTCACTACCCATAGAAGAGGTTTAATGACAGAAAATTGTAACTTAGAATTTTGTGTAGTGAGGCTGGAATTTGAGCACTGGTCTCAAATCTTAGCTATGTGTTTTCATACCAGAATAATGCTGTTCCCCACTGGTGAACTGGCATAGTAGCTTATATTGATGTTATAAGACATGAAAATAATTAAAAAGTAAGCTTTACTGTACTTATAATAATCTGAAGTAGAGCTGGTCCCTGCTGCCTAAACTGCCATAAGCAGACTCATAAGCAGTTTCCAGAGTGCAGACTGATTAATGACAGCTCAGCATGGGGATGCTGAGAGACTCAGACTCATGACTGATGCATGTGAAAAGACTGTTGAACAGGGGGTGGTCAGGTCTGAGAAAACAAAACCCATCACTGAAATTGCTGAAAGCTGCTGACAATTGTTTTTGCACACAAGCTATTTCTAAACATGAGAAAACTAACTGCTACTAACTGTTCTCCTGTGTTTCCCCTTCCTCTTGTCACAATCCCAGTCTTCCTGCCATGGTTAAAAAGGAAATCTGGAAGTAGGAAACAAGTCAAGAGGCAGCCCCCTCTTTATATAAGGAGACTATATTCCATGTAAGTGTCATTCTTGCAATAAAGAGTGATTCTAGTTTTAATGCTTTTATTAATTAGTTGAACTTCACCAGCCAACCATTATATTGATAAATGTATTATACCTTACATATTTGACCTCCTTCTCCTAGGAGATTAACACCCCAAAATGTGTGACTGATGACATATGTGACTCCAAGAGTTTATCTGACATGCAAAGAGAAAGAGATAGAGAGAAGATGGTTAGACGGGAGATTAAATAAGACATGATGTTCTAAAACCAAAAGTTTTAGACTGTTTATCCATTATTCTATTGTTTTCTTAATTTCTGTCACACAGGTTTCTCTCCTTGGAGTACAGCAAAGAATATTCTGAAGTTAAAGAGACAAAGTCAATGCTACAATAGAAGATTGGCAAAATAAAGTTAATACTTCTTCCCTAGAGGCCTCAGTCCCAAAACACTTGATGCACTCCTCTTTCTTTCTTTTTCATGGTCTAACATTAGAAGGGGTGCCCTGATTGGTACAGCTTCCTCAATAAAGCAGGAACTCCAAAATAAGGAAAACTTGAAGGAACAACAGCTCCATGTCAGACACTATCACTCCATGCTTTTACTGTGTAAAGACAAAAATGCATGTGATACATTGCCCTAAAGAAAAAAACATGCAGAAAGCCAAGACAGCACTATTTTTTTTCCCATAGTGAAAAGTAAATTTTACTCTCAGATTCACAGTTCATGTACTTTCAAGAAAGGTTCAGTCCCATTTTCAGTCACTGAGGGGCCTTCAAATGTCTTGGTCCAGGAATATGCCAGGAATTTCCCCCGTATTCACAGAAGCCACAATGAGCCAGTATCACAGAAACTGTGAGAAGAGCTTGTTCTGTGAATGTGACATAGAAAAAAATCACCTTGCGTGGGAGCCAGCACAGCATATCACTTGAAACAATGGCCAGTGGCCCAGCCAAGTGTATGCAGCATGGATGGGAAATCCCAGCCCTGAGACACCAACCTTCCTGACCGTCCCTCACACACGAGAGCAAATCTTCTGTTCCACTGTGCTTGGCAATGCCTTGTCCTTCATCTTTAAATTTCTTCAAGAAAAACAGATAGTAAGAGCATATGTTAAGCCCGTTTGAAAAAGACCCTCTCCTTGTTACAGGATTCTACAGGGAGAGGCCCACATGTTATATATTATGGAAATCATTATCGTTGCTTTGAAGCTTCAGTTAACAGCAGTGTTTCAGTTACATAGTGAAAGAGGAGTTTTTTTATGTTGAAAGAACACAGAACTCGACAGTGAAGTTAAATACAGCAGGGTTTTTTTCTGAAACATTTACCAAAGTGATTTTTATCTATTGAAATCCATGAAATTTTGTGTACAAGCAGGGCTAAGTATAAGAACCTATTCTAAGAGAAAACTTGCATGTCCTTCATAATCGAAGTCATTAAACAGCTAGTGGTTCAAACACCATATAACAAGATGGGTGGAGTTTTCCTAGTGGAGGCTCTGAAATTGTTTCCTCCTAACAAAAGTTCAGAATACATTTGTCAGCACATATAATTTCCTGTGCTCCTTGCTGCATTTGAAAAGCCAAAATATGCATCCTATTGTAACAAAACTCCTGGTTTACCAAGATAAACAACAACAAAACAGATCTGCATGGTGTCAGAACTCCAGGCAGTTCTTTGTATTTGTTGGAAGATCTTACTGAGTTAGGAAACAGTAATTCTTTCTAGGCAGATTCAAACATTTTTGACAGAGATTGCGATGAAAAAAAATGTAAGACCTTTTCCCTTGTAGTTGAAAAGTTGAAATCCTTGGTAGTAACCTTAAACCTGACCATTAGTTCAACTTTGTCTCATGTTATACAGCTATGCACAACAAAGTCTGTTGATGAAATGAAAACAGTTTCCTAGAACGCCAAAACAGACTGCTCCCCTGCTACGGAAGACAGTCATCGCTCCAACAGGGATGTTTACTAATCTGTGTCATTGTTAACCAAGATATACTGGAGACACAGCATTTGAATTAGAGCCTCTGGTAAATGAAGTAAGTGATCATACTGCATAAATTCAGAATGAAATTGGGCCAGCCTAGAGTTTTAGGACATTCTAGGCCTCCAATACACAACTGGAGACAAATTAATAGTTTATTAAGCTGCGGCCCCATGAGCAAACCTGGTTTCCTATGGCAGCCAACAAAGAGGAAGTGTAATCCTCTTCTGGCCTCTCTTCTCCCCTGCCCTTCTACACTACACATTTGACATCTGGACTCTTCTGGATGCTACCCTAACCTAGTAGAAGACTGCCCAGCTCTTCTACTGAGTAATTTATCCTGCTGGGCCAGTCATTTAGACTGCCCTCAGCCTGGAAATGAATCAGTAGGAATGGACAGGATAGCAAGAACAAGACTCCTGTATCTTAGAATCTGTGAGTCATTAGATTGAGCAGCTGTGCAAGGAACCACTGCTCAGTAAGTAACAATATAACAAGGCTCAAAGAGTAAGGACTCTCCTCCTCTGCTGAAAAAGACACTTCCTGCTGACTTTAGCTAACTAATTCTTACTAATGTAATGAAATTACAAGGCGCATGAAGATACTCTGCAGGAAAGTTTAGGAAATCCCTGTGTTACTAGGTTTGCAGCAGAGGATCTAACTAGCAGACATCCAAGAGAGCAGGAGGACTGCATTGTGCTTGACTACAAATATGTAGTCAAAAGTTGTCTTCTGCAAATACATTACAGCTGAGCAAACCAGATAAAATCAGAAGTGAAAAATTACCGTATCTATAATGCAGGTCATCAGCAGTATCAGAACTCAAATCCAGGTCTCTTGAGGCTGTCCTGGCTCACTACCATATAGATCCCTCTTGTTTCCTCAATGCCTTGAACCTAGTAAGACTTCCACTATCTTATATTGTAGAGTTTTTAACTGTTATTGGTCAAGAGTCAACTCCATCAAGCTGTGGGAAAAACCATTCAAATGAACTTAAAATGCATACTAGATGTTTGGTTTAAGAAAATGTTTTGTTACAATGACAATTTTGATTCCAACAACATAGTGTTTTCTCATAAATATTGATTGCTAGAAATACCTGTGGTATTTGCCATTTTACTCGTTACAGATTCATGCAGGACTGAATGGACAATAGTTGTCTTCTGAGTTAAAACTGTGGACAATATTAATGCTTCAACAGAGTGAGACTAGAAGGCAATTCATCTCTCTGCTCTAACTGTCTAAATAGCACACACAGTAGTTAGTATCAATTTAGGTGCAGTACTTGCATATTTATTGACCTGTGTATCTACTGTGCTAGAGCAGGCTGTGTTCTACTGAAGTCTTTTGGACTCCTGCTTGTGTCTGTGGTTTGCAGACCACAAAAATTTCCCAGAACAAGGAGAACCTCCAACACATTTCAATTTATGAAACATGTGCAGCCCATATGAGAAATGTATCCCAAAGGAATGGGAAATTATAGTTTGCACATGTGTGGATAAGAGTCAACTGGTGTTGAAGGTAATTAAATTTTGTCACTAATTAGTTTCAACCAATAGTGTGCATTAATTAATCCACACAGTGCTCCTGTGAAAGAAATGCAGAAAGCTCTGAGACTGAGGGTTTGTAGATGGATGAAAATTGACGTATAACAGGATAGGGAGAAATTTTTAAATGGAAGGCTACTGTAGATTGCCTCTGTGAGTGAACATTCCTATTCTGGTGCAAGTCCTAGCTTGCTTAGTCCAAATGTAAAGCAGCTTGAACTCATTTAGAAAGAGAGATGAAAACATCATTTTTCTATTCAAGATAAAACCAGTCAAACTCCCAAACCAGTTACTCCACAAGCCACAAGTCCTATTATTTTATATCCTGGAGTACTTCCATTGTTGCACATTTTTCACATCTGGCGAGTGTTTTGGTATAACTCTGGTGATGCTCTCTCTGAAAGGATACAGTAGAACTTGGAGTACTCTGAAGGGGGACAAGGGTGGCTGCAAGTATGGCTCAGCACCTGCTGAAGCTAAGCAGGCAAGCTTTCTTCAGCTCGGGATGGCTTGTGTGTGAGGGGAGAGAAGGTTTATAAAATCATAACTAGGACAGAGAAGATGAATAAGGAACAATTATTCATTATTCCTTGCCATATAAACAAAATAATTTATCCAATGACAGATAAAAACAGTTAAAACCAAAGAGAACAATTTTCCACACAACAAGATATTGAGCTGTATGACTCACTGCTAAATTAAGTTTGGATGTGAAAAATATTAGCAGGTTCAAAATGGGATCAGGCAAGTCAATTGGAGAAAGGTCCATTGAGGATAACTAAACAATGGCCCTAATGTGATATCAAGAGGAGGAAATGCCTGCAGCACTGATCACTAGAAGAAAGGAAAGAGGAACGGATCATTGTTGTGTTTCTTAAGTTTTTTCCCCTGTTGGTGCTGGCCATTGTCTGAGAAAGGCTAATGGGATGCTCAACTGGTGTGGGACTGCTTAAACTGGTGTTTTTATGAGTTTCCAGTGACAGCATCTGGGCTTAAATGGGTTTCAACATTACATTTAAAAGAAGTAATCGTAACACATTACACAGAGAGTGAGGGGCACCAGAGCTGGGTTTGGATCTTGTTTTGAACCCAACCCTTTTGTGTTTCTCCTTTTTAGTAGCCATTATGATTACTCAGTCTATGTCTTTCCCATCTAAGGAGCTCTGCAGCTGTATGGGAGGGATGGCAAGCACAATCACCATGAAATAAGAAGAAACTATAAATAAGTCAATTCCTTCCATGCCCTTTATTTATAAGGCTCAAAAAAAAATTACAAAAAAATAAAAATCTCTTGATATTAAAACCCAGATGAGTGAAAGATTTCTTTATGAGGATCTTGACATTTTGGTCACATCTGATTAATTGGATGCTATGGTCATCGTTCCAGAGGCTGTATATTAAGAATGAATTTGCCTTGTAACTATCTGGCTCTAAAACTTAATTGAAAGACACAATGAAGCCTTTATGGCTCTTCTGGGCTCTGACAATTTTCCAGTTACCAAAAACTATTGACAAGAGACTCCTCTTGCTTTTCTTTTTATTTCTACATTATCGTGCTTGTTTTGCTTGATAATGCATTTTAAGGATTAAAACTCTCTCCAACCTATTTTTTCATCTCAGTGTTTTTAGTGTAGATATTAAAAAGAGGCTTTCAGTTAAGGATAGACAAATTCTTTTTGCCTAATTTTGACAGCACATAAAAAAACCCACAAACAAAAAACCAAAACTAAAACCGGATGAGATGAAAAGTTCAGTTTGACCTTTTTTATGGTATTAATGAGAGAAAAGCTAATGAAAAATAGATTTGCTGTGAAAAATAGAAAAGAATTCAGAAGAGAGAACATTTAATGAGGACGTGAACCCTAAGATCTCCCACACATGCTGAGCCAATTTCTGTGGAATGGTGGACAGTCTGCCATCTCTGCTCTAGCACACAAAGTTCAAGTTACCAGAAAACTCTACAACCAACCAACTGAAAAAAGCCCAAAACAAACAAACAAACAAACAAACAACCCCAAAAACCAATCAATATGGCCAGGTGGAAATCATAATTTGAAATTGCAGGAAAATGTTACTCATGGTAATTATGTCAATAAGAAGGATAATAAGGAGTGAAGTGGACCATACTTTTTGCCAAACCTCAAGATTTTTTAAAAATTTAGGTTTATATAAAGTAACCACCTGGTGGATGGTTTCTATATCTATTTTACATTCAGAATAAATTTAGAAAAACAACCATATGAAATTGTGGAGTAAAAACGTACTTACCAAATGGATTTCTTAATTAAGATTCTAAGAAAAAAAAATACAGTGCACAGAATAATAAGCTCTCAGATAATATTTTAATTACATTGTATAAGTGTTATGTCATGTAGAATTAATGTTATACATATTATAGGTCTTCCAGCATTCAAATTTTTTAGAAATGAAAATTCCAGATGCCATTGAAGCAGTCTCCATTAAGCACCTCTACTGAAATCCAAAGACATTTAACAAGGGGACAGTATTGGTGAGTGGTTTCTAGTATAGCCAGCCAATAACCTGGGGAGTTTTTCTCAATAGAAACTATCTTAGAATTTTACTGTAGTAGAGCTTGTTTAAGAAAGCAACATTAGTTTATTCACTAATAATAGACAAAGAAAAAAAGACTACAAAAATACAGCAAGGATATAAATTCCATGAATTACATACCTAAGTGTCATGCAATTGTTGGAAACCTGTCAAAAAAAGAAGATGCAAATAAAGCTGAGGAATTCTGCGTTACAGTGAAATAGTCATCTTGTGATGCTATTCACGAATTCACATACTATATGGGCAACTAATAAATATTTTCTAAAAATAAGAAAGAAGCTTTTTTAAAAATCCTGTGGACAGTAGAGCCAAATGAATACTTTCCCCATGCTCACCTCACCCCAAAAGTGCTTAAGGCCTGTTAAAAATAACAAGAGAGTTACAGCAACAAAAGTAGAAGAGGTAGAAGTTCTTGTTTTTTTCAGAAAGCCAGGCATACATAAATGTATTTTCCCACTCCTAAATATTTGGGGGGCTATAGAAACATTTCAGTCCAAGCTGAACATAGGCTAAAAGTCTCCATGATAATTATAAACCCACAAGCTTTATTAAACTAGAGGTATGATACTCAATAATTGCTTTCAGGTGGTAAAGTCATGCAGGAAAAAACAATTCTAAATTCCTATTCCAGGTCTCCCATTCAATGCTTACATGGCCGCAGAGTAGCCAGGGAATATCATGGGACCATACTGCTGCACATGACTTCTTTCTCCCCACTGATTTGAGGATGTCTCCTAGGTACTGAAAATCTCAGTTTAGTTCCTTCCTCTGTTTGAGACAACCTGTATTTCAGGTAAACAAAAAATACAAAATATATTCCTAAATTTCAAGGAAGGCTTCAGACCCCAGGTGTAACACAGCACAGTTATCTGAATTTTTGGATTATACTCCATCCAGAGTGGGACATGCAACATGAAACCTGGCAGCCCCACTTCCCAGGGGAGCATGCAAAAGCTGAGGTCTCACTTGCTCAGCACTGATGGGCCAGTTCCAGTAGGCAGGACCCAAAAATCTGCCACACCCTGAAAAAGGCTCTCATCTCTGAAACATTAGGAGGGGATGGCATCTCTGAGGAGAATCACTTCAGCAGGAGAGGAAACATAAACTCGCATCCCAGGACAGTGTTCCAACAGATGAGCTGTAAGATAAACAGGAAATCCTTCTGATAGACTTTTCAAAGCCAAACTTTCTATCCTTGCCCTATTTTCCCCGTCTCTTCTACAACTTCCAAAAATAAAATGTTCCAACAGCGAAGAACTTATTCTATGTTGAACACAACAACTTTAGTTCATCGTTCTGTCACAGTCTGTACCACACAGTGCAATCTGAGATGGCTCTGCTGGGGTTTTTGTGTCTTCTCGACAAAACAATGAACACATTTACATACAAAGCTACATAAATAACAGTGGTCTGAAAAATGCACTATTTCAACTAGAGATGTCAAAATCTCTTTTCTCACATTGTGTCTTCAATCAATGATGAAATACAGAGGAAGTAGAAAGAAATAGCATTAATTTGCCTCTCTGACTGCTTTACATATCCCCTCATATCTCAGTGGGATTTCTGGAAATAATGCAAAGCCTCTCCAGTGCTTGACATGCAGTAACTCCAAATATTACAGAAGAGCTCTGTAGCCAATAAGCAGAAAAATTTGCATAAAAATGGAAACTAATTTCTCTCTCCATACAGAGAATATTCTGTGTCTGGCAAGCAGTATGAGCTTGAATTTGCAAACAGTAATACAGGCACTGTCACATCCGTTCTGCTGCTACTCTGGTAAAAGCAAACAGCATTTAGCTCAACTGTTACATATTGTTCAGCGAACAGGTTGTTCTAGGACATAACAAAAGACATCTACCTTTTGCAAATGTTTCTAATGATAAAAGTGCAAATTTTTATAAGAAAAAATCTTTTTTTTCCAACATATTTTTCCAT